ATTTGTCAAATTGTATTAATCCTTTCAAAGAACGAACTTCTAGTCCTGTTGATTCTATTGTTTTCCTGCTTTTTATTTCATTTACTTCTGCTAGAATCTTTATTATTTGCTTTCTATTGGTGACTATAGGCTTAATTTTGTTGTTGTTGTTGCTATTCTTTTTCTAATTGTTGGAGGGGTAAGGTGTTGATTTTTGTTCTTTTTCTTTTTTGAAATGTATGTTTATTGCTATAAATTATCCTCTGAGCACTGCTATTGCTGTGTCCCCAAAATTTTGGTATGTTGTGTTTTCATTCTTGTTTGATTCAATGATTTTTTTTTAATTTCTTCTATTGCCTAGTAATTTTTAAGCAGGGTGCTATTCAATTTCCATGTTTTTGATATTTTTTCCCATAATCTTACTGTTGTTGATTTTCTAATTTTATGTCACTGTGATCTGCAAAGATGCTTTGCAGTATTTCAATGTTTTTAAATTTATTGAGGCTTGCTTTGTGAGCTAACATATGGTCTATTGTGGAGACTGTTTCATGTGTACTGGAAAAGAGTGTAGATTGTGCTGTTTGGTGGAATGTTCTGTACACATCTTTGAAGTCAAATTGGTTGACTGTGTTCTTCAGATCTTCTGTATCTTTGTTTTTCCTAGTTTTTCTGTCCTTCATTGAACCCAAACCAAACCCACTGCCACTGAGTTGATTCTGACTCACAGCAACACCCATTAAGTTTCCAAGGCTGTAAATCTTTACAAAAGTAGATTGTCTTATCTTCTACCCACAGAGCAGCTGGTGGATTTGAACCACTGACTTTCTCGTTAGCAGACAAATGTCTTACCCATTATGCCACCAGAGCATCTCCCTTCATTGAAAATGCTATATGAAAGTCTACTATTATTGTGGCATTGTATATTTCCCTTTTCAATTCTTTTAAAAGTTTATGTATTTTGGGGATCCCCACCAGCCACTCCTTGGAAGTTTGAGTGATCTACTTCCATAGTGATACCTCCTTGGAAACCCAAGGAGGGGCTGCTATGAGTCAGATCTGACTCAATGGCAGTGAGTTTAGTTTTTCACTGAGTGTATAAGTTATGGTTATGTCCTCTTGTTGGAGTGACTCTTTAATCATTATGTAATACCCTTCTTTATCTCTTATGCTGGTTTTTCTGTTAAAGTCTCTTTTATCAGAGACTAGTAGCACTACTCCTGCTCTTTACTTTATTGCCATTTCCTTTTTATATTTTTTCCTTTCTTGGATTTTTAGCTTATTGTTATTTATTTATTTTTGTCTAAGGTGTGTCTATTGTACACAGCATATTGATGGATTGTGTTTTCTTATTCATTCTGCCACTCTCTGTCTCTTGACTAGTGGGTGCATTTAATCCATTTATATTTAGTATAATTATCGATAAGTATGAATTTACTCTTTTTTTTTTTTTTGTACATGTGTGTGTTGTTTCTTTGTTCCATATATTTTTCTGGGGTGAGTTCATTTTGTTTTTGGGTTTTATTATCATTTCTTTCATTGGTGTTGTTTTAGTGTTTGCTGAATCTTTATGATTTTTTTATTGTGGTGGGAGAGTTTATTAGTTTACTTGAAGGTTACTCTGTAATTTGTTCTTATCTTCCCAAGTTTAAAACATTCCACTCTGTCTTGATACAGTCTTGACTTCCTCTCCATTTGGAGTTCTGGAAGTACATCATTTAGTCCTTCTTTTTGCTTTGTGATTATCATTGCAAATTAATGTTTCTGTTTCCCTATTTTCAGTTTTGTAGTTTTATTTTATTTTTGATACTTCTCTATCTGGGCTGATTTTTTAGTGATGTAGTTGTGTGTCTTAATTTCAGATTGTTGTCTGCCATTGTTGGTTCTTTCCAAAGGACTCTCTTTAACATTTCTTGTAAGGTTGGTGTGGCTTTAACAAATTACCTTAATTTCTGTTTATCTGGAAATGCCCTGATTTCACCATTGTAACTCAGGGACAATTTTTCTGGATATATAATTGACATTTTTTTTTTCTTTCAGAGTTTTATACATGTCATTCCATTGTCTTCTCTCCTGCAATGCATCTGCTGAGAAATCAGAGCTTAGTTGCATTGGTTTTCCTTTGTAGGTAACTTTTTGGTTTTTTTCTGAGCTGCTTTCAGGATTCTTTCTTTACTTTGGTTTTGGAAAGTTCAATTATGATATGTCTTGGTGATTTTCTTTTGGAGATCTATTCTATTTGGAGTTCACTGAGCTTCTTGAATGTGTATCTTCTCATCCTTCATGATATTAGGAAAATTTCCTTACAACAAATTTTTGACAATTTTCTCTGTGTTTTCATCCTTCTTTTTCTTATTTTTAGTCTCTTCCTGTTCTGGAATTCAGATAATATATAAGTTATTCCTCTTGATGGTGTCCTACATAGTTCTTAGGCTTTCTTCATTTTCTTTCATTTTTTTCTGATTGTTCCTCTAACAGATTGTATTAAGTGATTTGTCTTCAATTTCACTAATTCCTTTGATTCAATTCTACAACTTGGCTCTTCTAATGCATTATTTATTTCTGAATATTTACTATTCTCCTGGATTTCTGTTTGCTGTTTCTGTATAGTTTCTACTTCTCCATTTATTTTGTCAACTTGTTATTGTATTGTTTTCCTGAATTCTTCAAGACTTTTATCTATGATTTTTTTTAACTTTGTCTATGATTTCCTTTGTATTATCTTTGTTTCCTTGATCTTGTTCTTAATCCGCTGAAGGGTCTTAAATACAATTCTTTTGAATTCCTTATTTGGTTGTTCTAGTATTGTCTTAGACTGAGTTCTCTAGAGAAGCAAAACCAGTGAAGATTTATATTTTATATACATATATGTATATAAAACCAAAAGCCCACTCAAAAAACCAAATCCACTGCTACTGAGTTGATTTCAACTCATAACAACCCTCATTATTTTTCTACAGTGGTAAATCTTTATTTAAATAGATTGCCCCATCTTCCTTCCATGGAGTGGCTGGTGGGTTTGAACTGCCAACTTTCTGGTTGCTGGTTAGTGGGCAAATGCCATAGGCACTGTGCTGCCAGAGCATGCTTGCTCTCTCTCTCATATATGTATGGAGAGAGAGAGAGAGAAAGACAGATTTGTCTCAAGGAAAAGGCTGTGGAGGGTGGCAAATCCCAGGCTGGAGGCTTCTCCTGACTCACGTAGCTGCAGAGGCTGACAAACCCAAAATCAGATGGCAAGCTGTTGGCTCACAGGGTACAGAGGCTAATGAATCTCAAGATCAGTAGGCAATATGACAGGCCACTAGCTCAAGTCCAGAGAATCAGACGTCAGATGATGGTGAGTCAGATGCAGGATCCAGATTGAGCACAAAGCCAGAGAGCTTTGCCTTAATGTCCATATATATTAGATTCAGTCCACACCCTGAGGAAATTCCCTTTCAAATGATTGGTTGCTCATAGTAGATGTCATCATGGAGTTTATTACATTATTTCACATCTCATCATGGGGGATGACTACATCATAACTACAAGACTACTGAGAATCATGGCCCAGCCAAGGTGACACACAACCTTAACCATCACAAATATAATTTCTTTCTCCAGAAGATTTTCTGGCCCTGTATTTTGATCACTTATTTTAGCCATCTTGTCCTGTTTGTGCGTGTGTGTGTGTGTGTGTGATTTGAAATTATCTGTTGTCTCTGAGACACTGTGGTGTTAGTGTATTTATTTGTTAATTGTAAGTTGGTTTGTTTCATCTTCTTCTTCTTTTTTTTTTTTTTTTTAATATATCTGGGCAATAGGTTGGGTGTGCTACTGTTGTCACTAGTTTGGCAGCACTAGGGTGCTAACCACCTATCTTCAGGTGGATTTGGTAGCAGGTGGGCATGTGGGCACAAGACTCTGATCACTGGTCACGTAAAGCAGCTGAGGCCAGGTAAGTGTGTGTAGGCTGCTGTCTGTTGTGGATCCAGGGGTGCTGGAGTGTGTGGTGGCACTCTCCCAGTGAGTGGGGTGGCAGATATGGCTGGGTAGAGTCACTGGCTCCTGACTAATGGGGAAAAAAGGAAAAAAGAGGGGGATAAGAGGAAGGTAAAAGAAAACAAAGAAGGGAAGGATGAGGGAAAAAATAAGAAGAAAGGAGAGATAAAAATAAAAGCAGCACAGTACCAGCACAAGGTCCAGCTGCCAAACATGCAGGTGTGGGAAGTGTGGCTGAGTAGAGTCACTGGCTCCTGCCTGATGGGAGAAAAAGGAAAAAGAGGGGGAGAGGTAGGAAAAAACAGAAAAGGTTAAATAGAAAAGAAGGGAGGAGGGGAAGAGGGAAAAAATAATAGACAAAACAAACAAACAAAAACACTACAACACAACACCAGTGCAAGCTCTAGTCACAGATGGCTGAGGCAGCAGACTTGGCAATGCTCAATCTGCTGGAGCACACTTCAGCCTCCCAGAGGAGTGGAACGATGGGTGTGAGGAGGTTGGGAGGGTGTGGGGGGCTGGGAAGAACACAGGTGGGGAAGGGGCAGTGGGGGAGGACTAGTTGTCGGGTGGGGTTGGGGAGGCCATGTTTCCGGTCACTGGGAGAGTGTGCAGGGTAAAGGGGGTGGTCAACCTCTCTGGTCACTGGTGTGGGTGCTGGTGCAATCCAGGGTGAGCAGAGCTGGTTATCTAGTTCTTGTCCTGATCAGAAAACTACTTGCAATAATTTAAAATGGCCACACTGTGCCAAATCAGTTGGCAATTCACTGCTCCATATGTCTCCTTGTTTGCTATTTTCATTCAGTTTCTTATTCTAATAAGTATTTGATGTGCTTCCTTATTCTTTCTTTTGAAGCTTGGGGTTGCAGGATTGTCATCTGTATCTGCTTCCCTTAGTTTCTCAAGTCTCTGTTGTGGAGGGTCTGGGTAGTATATCTGCCTACTCTGCCATCTTGGATCCTGTCTCCACAGGGTTTTTAATGGCTAATTTTTTGGATTGGAAGGAAGGTTGGGCAATCCTACTTCCGTAGTGATAACTGCCTTGGAAACCCAAGGAGGGGTCACTATGAGTCGGGGCCGACTCGATGGCAAATAACAACAATTTTTTGGAAGTAGCTTGCCAAGACTTTCTTCCAAAGAGCTCCTGGGTAGACTTGAACTTCCAATGTTTTGGTTAGCATGAGTGAGTTAAACATATGCACCACCCAGGGACTCTTTCTTGCTCATTAGCCCACTCTGATCCTGGACCCAAGGGAGAGGAAGCAGAATCATCCAAGACCCTGGTTTGTGCTGCCTCCTCAACTTAGGGAAGGCCCTGTAGGCTGGATCTCAAGCAGCTCTCTGCACCCTGCTTTGCCCTTGTCATCTTTAAGGTAAATCCATGAAGAAATGTTTTTATTTGCTTTGTATATGTTTTAGCTTGAGTTGATTTTGTTTTGACACATTGGTTCAAAATAAGATTGACCCTTTGGAAAACCACATTGCTAAAGCCATTTACTCAGCTTTAGCTTGAGGGGTTTAATTGAAAACAGCTGAGGTATACTGACATCACCACAGGCTCCAGACTGAGAGAGACCTCAGAGAAGACATGCTGGCTTGGCGAAGGGTGAGCACGGCTTCGAAAGCAAGAGCCAGTGAAGGGAAATCTTATCCCAGGAGGAAGGTTCTGTTTCAAAAATAGTTCTTTCAGTATGTGTATTTTGAAAACGAAGACCAGGCATATTTAAGACAAGAATGGGAAACAGTAAAAGAAATCACTGGCATTCTAAATGCGGCCTTGGATAGGCTGTATGTGAGCAAGTGTAAGAATAAGTTCATGTAATTAAGAGATAGTATATTTTCTCTTATTGCATATGTCAGTGTCATTTTATTTACTGATGGATGAACTCTTCTTTCCTGACTCCTTTCGCTGTACTTGTGTTTGATAATGCATCACTTTGTGTTACTGCCTTCCACCTCAGACTCCTGAAGGCAGTAACATCTTACACACAGTTGGTTTCTACAACCTGGCACTTATGGTATGGATGGCAAATTAAGAACTCTAGTTTCACTTTAATGCATAATGCGGTATGTACAGATTTACTTCTCTGATTTTGCAGGGGACTTGAAAGAAGCAGAGAGAGGAAGGGATCCCTGCGTGACCAGATTACTTCAGGTCACTCACTGGAAGACACACTTCCAGCCGGCTCTTCCTTTGGAATTTCCTGTGTGGAGGACACTACCATCCATGGCTGGAGAAAGTCTGTGACTAGCCAGAGGCATTGCTGTCAGCTAATGGGGATGCTTCATGAGTGGATTAGGCAAGGAGGGTTGGCAATTGATTAAGTGCTCCACTACTAGCTGAAAGGCTAGCACTTTGAGACCACCGACTTAACAGGCTGGCAGTCTTGGCCTCTTCCTTTTCTGCTCAGTGAGATATGTAAATATGTAAGGATGGTGCCAGAAATGGCGCTAACTCAGTGTCCATTGGCCATGGAGGCAGTGCATCCCTGTGGCTAGGAGGGAGAACTCTGCAGGCAGCTTGTTTGGATTCATATCACTGTTACTTGTTACCACTGTGCCCCTGGGTAAGGTACTTCTCTTGTTTCAGTTGCCTCATCTGTAGATGGGGAACAATGGTCTAATAGGGTTAACACTACCTTTTATGGATATTGTGGGGATTAAGTCAATGTGAACATGCCACATCAAACCAAAAACCAATTTCATTCCATCGAGTTGATTCTGACTCACAGTAACTCCCTTTCGGTTTCTGAGGTGGCAAATCTTTATGGAAGTAGATTGCCCAGTTTTCCTTCCACGGAGTGGTTGGTGGGTCTGAACCCTCATCCTTCTGGTTAGCAGTCAAATGCTTTAGGCACTACGCCACCAGAGCTCATTAACATGCCACGTATATGTCAGCAAATGCGATTGTTTCCACCTTCCCTTCTCACTGGTTCAGTTTCATGGGAGAAAAAAATTGATTGTCTGTGGCAGATACAGGTTGTGTTTGCATCGACTAGGGAGCATGAGAGAGGAATGTCCAGAGGTGGAAGTGGCATTAGGAAAATGGAGACACTATCTTGGTTCTCTTAAGATTAAAAAAGGGGAAAAAAATCAGCAAATCTGAGTGATAATTTCTCCATGGTGGTTTTCCAAGTAGGCAAACCAGGCTCCAAGTAAGCCAAATGATACCACTTCCCTCCTTGCTCCTCCTCCCCAAAATGGATTTTTCTTCCCATCTCTTGAAACTCTGCTGAGATGTGGCCACTTTAGCAGTTTGGATGTAGGAAGAAGCAGGGGAGCATTAGAGTCAAGCAGATAGATGGGGTTCATCATTTCCTGTGTGATCTCAGGCAAGTTATCTACCCTCTCTGGGCCTTGCTCTTCTGTGTACTGGTAACACCTACATTATTGAGAGGATGACATGAAATGAGATCCTATATGTAGCACACCTCACACACAGTAGGCACTTAACACATACACGCTTGTTCCCCTTCCTGTAGAGTGAAGCTCTCTTGAAGCAACCCCCCTAGATCAGGTTGACTTCTGTAATCTCTAATGTTCATGCAATCCCTAAAGTTCATGCCACACAGATGCACTTTTATCTTGATGTTTTTTCCATTCTGGTACTTTCCTTACTGTTGGACTTTCCCTGCATTTCTCCCTCCTCAGTGTCTTCAACAACTCTGTTCACTGGTTTCTCAGGGTAGAGTTCCATTTTCTTCATTTGTACCTTCCCACAGTGTCTGGACAGTGCTCTCCAGAGCTTCAGTAGACTGTGGCTCCTGAGATCCTGAACCCCCAAGGTCTTTGAGGGAAGTGCATTCCTGTCTTGGGTGTGCCTAGGTGTGTCAAGCTGAAAGGCCTTTTGGAGGGGAGCTGTGTGTGTATAATATAGCTAGAGAGTGACCTTCTCCAGGGAGCTGCCTCCCCTTGAAAGAATATGCAGGGGAATAAAGGCACAATCTACACCATAAAATGAGGGCAGAGATAGACCAGTTAAGAGCCAGCCTGAGGTGGGCTGTGGGCAGGCCAGGGTAGGGGCCTCGGTAAACAGAAATGTTAAACAAGGGCCTCTCCCAACTCCACCCTAGCTTTAAACACCACAATTTGCAAAGTTTGGCTCCAGAGGCCTCTCAATGACCCCAATCTAATTTCTCTCAACTCTCCAGTGATGGCTGACTGGCAGGGAGATAAGGTGGACTCCTTGAACCAGACAATCCCCTGGGAAATTCCACCAACCCCCTTTGAGGGTGCAGATGAGCAACATAAAGGGGGCTGAGGTAAGGGTGAGCTGTGGAGGGAGGGAGGGGCTGGGGAGAAAAGCCAGCGCCAGTGTGCCTTCTGGGTGGATGGGGCAGCCAGTGGGGCCAGGCCTGCGCCTGGGGCAGGGGCTGTGCTAGAGGTTAGGGACCCCAGGGTAAGGCCATATGTGGCACTGTCCCTAGCCCTTGCTAATTGGGACCCTGGGTGGAAAGCCAGTGGGGATGTAATTAGGGTAAAATCTGGAGTTAATGAGCTGTGGCAACAACAGGACAAAAGAAATTAATTACCACAAGCCCAGGGCTCAGGACTGAGGGGAAGCCACCCCAACTATGCCTCCCTCAGCTTCTCTCTGACGTTAGCTGTTTCTCACCTCCTTCTTTGTCTAGTCCAGTCTACTGTATCCAAGTGTCAAATATTTCCTTCCTCACCTTGAACTCTGCCTCTCTGCCCCATTCCTCTTCTCCTCTTTCCCTACCTTTCCCCAGTTCTTCAGCCCACATGTCACTCACTTCACCTCTGTATTTCTAGTTTCTCTGTTCTCCTCCTCTGGGGGTAGTGGGGCGGGAAGGATCTGGGCTCCCAGGGGTAAGCTGGGTGGCAAAGGGTGAGCCCAGGATGGTTGCCTAGGGAATGAGGAAAATGGGACAAACACCAATCAGCAGTAAAGAGGCAAAAGAGGTACCTCAGAGCAGGATGCCAGGGTCTGCCCATGCCTGGAGACCTTCCTGTTACCTCATCCCAGCGTCTCTGCCTCTCTCTCCTTGTGGAGCTGGTCCAGGAGCAGAAGGAAGCTCAGGTTGTCTCTGCAGATGCTTCCCCAACAGGCTCCATTGAGGCCAGCTCTGTGCCTGACTTCTGCTCCAAGGTCTAGTGCTGTTCTGCTGTACCTGCCTCCCCGCTTTTCTTCTTTTCCATAAGGCTTCTCAGCACAGGCATAGTCCCTCTTCCATATGGCCAACCTGACTCAGGGGAGTCCAAGAGAGATAATGCCAGCAAGGCCAAGTGGCCAAGGA